TTTATTATTTTAACATTTTGGGAGGAGTAAAATTTACATATGTGGTTTCAGCAACCAGATGCATTTACACTTGTCCAGTTTCGTCTGGAATGCGGCCCAGACCACCTCCTGGAGTTTTGGATTGTATGTCTTGTATGTCTTGCAGTTTCGAATCTCTCTTCATTGTTGTTAATTATTTTATTCTAGTGGTTTCTTGCCATGGCAACTATTGATGCTCACAATCATTGCTTGTCACTGAATAAAGAAATAAATACATGCATGCACCTATTTGAAATTAGGTCGAGTTGTAAGTATAATCAAATTGTCTGTACAAATCATTTCAACACTTTTTTATATATAAATATTGTCTAGTTGAATCTCATTTAACTTAAAATTAAGTGGAAATTAGTAAATTATCATGAGTTAAAGTAATGGAAAAAACATGCTGACTTATTGATCATATCATATTTTACAGCGTATCATGTAATATTTTATCATTTATAATGCAACTTGCTTGCGTTTCATAGCATCAGTAAAGATGCTGCTCCACACATCTAGTGGTGAGAAATATTAGCATTCCAAACATTATGTGTGAATTAATATTAAGAACTGTATTTAATGTATGGACTTAGCAGTCCTCTGACACTTTATGAAGTTATATTAGGCCACACCTAATATTACACCTACACCTGATACAAGTTAACGAATATTTTTCGTCAATGAAATTAACACTGGGTGGACCTTACTGAAGATCCAATCATTTTCAGTTTTCACATACAACTTTATTGTGGTCAACATTAAGGAACAGAGAATATTTGAGACTGTAAATGAAGAGCATCAAAGCAAATAATCAAATATATGCATATTTCTTTGAATAATTTACTTCAAAGTCAACATTTCTTCTCTGTTTTCTGGTGTTTGTATGAACACATTGACTTGGCACAGCTTCCTTCCGCGTCACATCCTTTTTATGCGGTTCAGACCACAGCAGCGTCATGTCAGAAAACCCTCGTTCCACCAAAGCAGACTGAAGCTGAAATGAGCAGATATTTTAAAACTGGATTCAATGTGATTTGGTTTCAGATTTCTGTATGTTTCCCTCTCTCACCTGTGACAGGAGCTGGAGGTTCAGACAGACTCAAACTTCAGTTTCATCTTCACAGGAGTCTTCTTGGAAAAAAGGATCTAAAAGGGCACATGAGCGTAAACATAGAAAGGAAAAGAAAACGCTAAATGCAAATAATAAAAACATAAAATGCATTGTGACCACAATATCTACAGCAATTTGGTGCAAATGCATCTGTCACTTAAGATTAAACGGATGCAGTGAGAGTTTGTGTAGTGATCCTCAAAAATCATGAACAAAACTATGCCAATTAAAAAAACAAACAAAAAAAACACCTAGATGACATTAAATACAGGTTCACTGGACATGGACATGGTTTAATGTCAAACACAAATGCATTTTATGTAATTTAATTTGCCAAATTTCAACTATTGTGAAGCCGTTATTGGTTTCCTAAAGCACTAAATCTGCTTGTTTGATCCCACCTTCTCCATAGACCTCCACCTCACACAGAGTAAGATACTTTGAATCTCCAGGAATTAACAGATTCACATATTGACCCTCCAAATCGTTACATGTGTAGGTGGAGGAAACACCAGCTGAAATGCTAGAAATCACAGCACATCTAAAGAGAGACAGAGAAAACCTAATTTAGACTTCTAGTCTTTCTTCATATATGATTTCAGGGATTAATTATGGATTTTAAGCCACTGAAAGAGGATCTCACGTGGGATTGTTGTTGCCGTTGTTCTCCAAAGAGTTTCCAATGCGAATCTCCGCTCCGTTTATTCGTTCTGGACAGCAGTCTAGTCTGTTTGTGATGACGACTCTATTAACTCTGTACACAGAACTCAGATCCACTCTCCACCATGGGTTAGTCTGATTACCGGTTGAGGAACACGATGACCACGACTTTCTGAAACCAGGATTGAAATCAATGGCCTGTTCAGCAGACCAGAGGCCATAGGTTGATGACTGTGTGGCGTTTTTTCCTGTTGCCAAATTACCTGGAAGATGTCATAGTGTCAAGAAATGGTTTTAATCAGCATATTTTATATTTGTATCAGGACTGACGGCAGCTGCAGTGACGTGTTGACTTTACCATTTGGTGATTGGCTCTTTTATTTAGAAGCAGTGTTGCCAGATTGGAAATGTCCAAGTATCGTACCAGAAGCTCAAAATTATCGTATTTGGAAGAAAATGATCGTATACGAGTCAAACGTACATATTACAGCTATTTATCTAAACCAACAACCTTTTGACATGACCTGCAAATTACCACAATAGATTTAGCGCATTTAGAGTGTCTGTAATGAGCCAATTTCGTGTATGAATATAGAAGCCCTATGACTACAACTACCATCATTTGAATTGTCATAAAATTATGAAATTATCGTACATTATGGGATTTTTTTCATTATTGATCATACATCGATCGTACAGAGGTCAAAATTATCGTACAAATATGATAATTATCATACGTCTGGCAACACTTTTTAGAAGGCAGGACTCATTCCACCAAAATGTGCATTTTGCTTGCTCCCACTCATTATAATATTTGAGCAAGGTCTGGATATGCGGCATCCAGCCCCAGTGGAGCTGGATGAGTCAGAGAGAACCAGAGGGGACTGTGCGATATCATATGAGTTGCAACAGGTCCACCTGAGCCTTGCCAAACACTATCAATATCTGCTTCACCACCTCGGGGTGAAGCATCCATTCCCCGGGCCTCGGCCCCTGCCTCGACAGGATGTCTGCTCCCATACTGAGATGCCCAGGAATATGAACTGCTCTCAGCGAGCGGAGTTTGCACTGGGACCACACAAGTATCTGGTGTGCTAGCTTGTACAAAGGGCGCGAACGCAGAACTCCCTTGTCGTTGATGTAAGAGACCACCGCCTCTTACTCTCGCGACTGAGGTGAGGATCGACTCGATCCGAGCTGGAGACATACGTGCCTATGTAACGGAGGCCAGCGAGTGAGTGCTGTGATAAGTGGTTCTCTGTACTGGAGAATTCTGTATGACGGTCCGCAGACCCGCCTTCTGCTAGAAGCCTTTGGCCTGGGAGCGCCACTCTGACTCTAGATTCTGCAGAGTACGAGAAGTGAGGCCCTAAAAGAGTCGCTCCTGTGTTTTTGTTGCTCAATGTATGATTGTATAAATGTATTTAATATGATTGACTCTTTCTTGTACAACACAATGCATATTTTAAAATTGGATATTTCCTCCAACTTTATGCAACACATGAAGTGTTGCACTATTATTTATTTATTTATTTATTTTGCAGCTAAGCAAATGTGAAATGATTTGTCATGACAGTGAAGTGTTATTATTACACATAGAAAATAAAGTTTGCTGTTTTTATCCCTCTTGCCGCTTCAGAGAGAAACGGTGTAACTGAATGTGGTAACCATTTTATTTATCTTTTCTGGAACACTGTTGTATTTGATTGTAGGTGGTGGTAGTTCATTTTTTCAACAACTAATTTAAGTGAACTTAAAACAATATTCACATAAATCCATTATAATAAATGTCCTATTTAGCTACATGTGCCATTCAGCAAGTAGGAAATATACAGAAATTGAATAAAGTTATCAAACACTAAATTCCAAATTAAATATTCATGCATCCTAAAACGCTAAAACGGTTATTGGTTTGCTCTTTGTTTCTTTTGTTCTTTGAATAACTGACATCAGAGCAGCTGGGGTTAAGTTATTTTGGTTGCTACTACTTTAAGAGCTGCCGCTACTGAATGTGGAATGGATCTGACATGCTTCATATTTTCTCACAGTGCGCGCCACCGCATCTGTGCATGCAATTGCAGAGCATGTGCTACGAGCCCATTATAACGGCAGACATGACAGGAAGATTTTACTGACATATGGCCTGACAACATCTTATCTGACCGCAGTTCACTGTTGTTCTACTGAAGCTCCTCGCCACCTGTACTGTTTCCTCATTCGTTTGACTAGTGCCTGGTGCTGAGGCGAAGTGGAGTGTATATCTGAAAAGTGTTACGTTTGATTTGATCTCAGTGCTCTTTGACAGTCCTCTTCATGCAATCCAGATTTGTGTCCACTGTCAGGTTTTCTTTTTTTTTGGGCTTTTCTGATGACAAGACAGAGCAAAACATGCCATTTGCTAGCCATTGTTTGTTTATACTCATGGCACCTTCTGTCGAGTCCCGCTGTATCGATGATAGCACGCAGAGCGTTAAAGACTGCATGCAATGAATCATCGGGTAGCAACATGTAGTCTGGCATGTTTCTTATTCACGACACGACAAGATTTTAGGAGTCAAAATCGCGTAATCTGACACAGCGACTTTTGTAACCGATAAAAAATATTGTGTAGTCTGAACCACCCATTAGTGTGCAATATCTTTTCTAACTGATCAGACTCATGGTTTTCATAACAAATGAAGATTAAAAATCATAAAAATCCTATCGATTTATATTGACTAAATGTTAAAATGAGCCAAGACTATTCAAACTCATGGATACCCTAGCAACTGCACAGCAACACCTCAGCAACCACCCTGCATATCCTAGCAAGCAACCTGGGTACCCTAGCAACCACATAGCAACATCCTAGTAACCAACTTGAGTACCCTAGCAACCACTTAGCAGCACCCTAGCAACCACCCTGGGCACCATATCAACTGCATAGCAACACCCTAGCAACCAAACCGAGTACCCTAGCAACCACCCAGAATTCCTTAGCAAATCTATCTATCTATAGCCTTCAAAACATTCAAACTTTAATCTTTAAAACTATTTTAAACTCCAACTACTTCAAACTGAAAACCTTCAAACTTCAAGCTTTTTAAAACCTTTTTCAAACTCTCTGGTCTGGCCTTCTCAAGCCAACTTCAAAGTTTATCTAGTTTATTGTTTTGTCCCTCTTCCCAGTGTCTCACTCTGATGTTTTGCTCTTTTTGTCTTTTGTAGTTTCATTGACTGTTTCTCGTTACTGCTTTCTCACAGATTTTAAAAGTGTATCACATAAATTCACAGTGGATGATCTTGGGTCATTGAGATGTTGTTAGGAGGGTGGATCTTCAATATTCCATAATTACTCCGGTTATCAGTCAACATCTGCAGAACTCAATCTTCATGATTTTTTATTTTTTTTATGCACTATGCTTTAATTTCACATCATGCTGCACAGTCGCAAACCTTTCAGTGATTTATCTGATGACTTGGACAGTTTCAGTTGAAATAAAATAAGTGTTTCATGAATACCTATTATAATTTTTCAAACTGGCATCAATCATATTAGTAAAAGAAATAATAAATCGTAAGTAGTCCTGCTGGGCTATTTATGTCCATGAGTTTTCATCATGTGTCTGAAAATGTTTCACAGCATCACAAACTCATTAACAAAAGATGTAGTAGTGTTTAATTCACAAAACCTCACCTTCAATTCCTTCCTTCGTTTGAACCGAGAAAAACCCTTGAAATGTGAAAGACGGAATGATGCTTAGTGTTTAGCAACCTAAATTGATTTTTATTATGAGTATAAACTTACATTTAGTTAGATTTACACTTAAAACATGCAGTTAGTTAAAATTCAGTATGATCTCTAAAATCTTGTATTAATGTCTTACACAATTTAGCTCCTCATATAAAAGTATAATGTTTAATGGTATTTAGATAACATTAACCGAGAACAATGCATTCAGTTTTAATTATGGTCTTCTGTTAAGTGGTTCTCTGTCTGAAAGATATAGCTAAAAACAGACTGTAGGTCACTAAAATATTAGACAGATTGTATGTTTTACTTACCCAGTAAAAACAACAAACTCTTGTAGAAAACCCTCAAGTTCATTTTAGGTGGTTCGTGATTCTTTCTGCTTTCATTTGAGAATGTTTGAATGAAAGCTGTTCCTGGGAGAAACAAATTAGTTTAACTCTCTTATCAGTCACATGATCCTGTTTCTCCTCCCACTTTTCTCCCTGACTCGAGCTGGAAAAATGTTTACAAAAAAAAAAAAACATCCATTCATCTAAAACCATCTCGTAGCAACAAAACAAGTGAACACATTTTCACTGAAAATAATGGTAACTTGCAACTTGTAACTTTTGATATCATTAATGATATCAAAATGGCTGTGGTATTGAATGTTTACATTTATCTCTTCAACAGACACTTATATGTAAAGCAAGTCAAGGTTTGTATTCATTTTTGTTTTCAAATTCAGTGGCATCACATTTTCACCCTAATGCTGTCATTATTCCAAGTCATTCTAACCTGTACGCCTTTCTTTCAGTGAAACACCAAGGTTTAAAGTGAATGAGGACTGAAGCTGTCGAGCTCCAAAATCTAAAAAATAAAAAATAATAATTCGGTAACGCTTTATTTTGATGGTCCCTTGTGAACATTCTCTGACAAAAAAAGTAACATTGCATCTACATGTCAACTAACTCTTATTAGAGTATTAGTAGCCTGTGTGCTTAATATCTGCTAACTCTTGATTGTCATGGTCCCCCAATAGACATTCTACTGACTATAAGTAACTTTGCAAGTACATGTCAACTTAATCTAACCCTAACCCTACCAGTCTACTAATACTGACTCTAGTGAGACTTAGTAGATATAGGTGCAACATTACTTATAGTCAACAGAATGTGTTAAGTGGACCATCAAATTAAAGTGAAACCAAGCATTCAATTAGTCTTTTCTTTCCTATCTCAAGGACTTCTCAGGATCAACAGATGTTTGCGTTTTGTTTGTTTTTTGCATGTAGGCTGCCTGTCAAAGCTACCTGAAAGCACACCAACACTGTTTGCATTTGGTCTGACATGAGAAGATATATTTCTAAAAGACACAAGGCTATTGTTAAAAAAAAAAAAGTAAAATATTAAAATGTGAATATTGGCATTAGGTGTTCATATAGCAATGTAGTAAATCTTTGCCAATCTATGCAATTTGCATCTGCATCTACTGCTGTTCACTTCTTAGAATGTCACTTGTTTTTCTTTTTCACAGTGAGGTTTTTTTTTTTTTTTTTTTTAAGTCGTTTGCTTAGAAAGCATGTTCCAAAAACCAAGAACATTAATGTAAATGTTCCCAA